CTATAGCAGCGCTAGGTAACTAAGACACAAAGGGAAACTCTGTAATTAATTAACCCTTTTGGTTATCATAAACTTCTCTATAACTTTTTGGAGGGGCAGAATCTATGCATTCAGTCACCTTTCTCAGTTAAATATATTTCTCTAAACTGAGACAGGGAACCGGAGCCTCTGACTTTTCTCTGGTAGCTTCTGTTTTCAAGACTTACGGCCCTGAGCGTAAAATTGTTGATGGTTCCTCATGAGCACAATCATGTGTCCTGGAATACCCATTCTTTACAATGTTACCCACATCCTTCACAATCATAATCCACATAGTTGAAAGCCTTTACGTAGTCAATAAAGCACAGATAAACATCTTTCTGGTATTTTCTGCTTTCAATCAAGATCCATCTGATGTCAGTAATGATACCCCTCATTCCATGTCCTTGTCTGAATCTGGCTTGAACCTCTGGAAGTTCCCTGTCAATGTACTGTTGCAGCTGTTTTTTAATTTCCTTTAGCAAATTTTACTTGCATGTGATATTAAAGATAATGTCCAATGATTTCTGCATTACATTGATTCATGTCTCTTTGGAATGGGCACAAACTGGATCTCTTCCAACCAGTTGGCCAGGTAGTTATCTTCCAAATTTCTTAGCATAGATGAATGAGTGCCTCCAGTACTGCATCTGTTTGTTGAATTATTTCAATTTGTATTCTGTCAAATCCTAGATCCTTGTTTTTTGCCAATGCCTACAGTGCAGCTTTAGTGTGCCAGACTGCAAAGCCATTTGAACTGCAAGGTCGGTGGTTCAAGCTCACCAGCTACTCCTCAGAAACCCTATACAGGATTGCTGTAGGTAGGAATTACTTGACGGCATTTAACAACAACAACAACAGTACAGCTTGGACCACTTCCTTCAGGATCATTGGTTCTTTTTCATATGCTGCCTCTTCAAATAGATGAACAATGACCATCTCTTCCAGGTACAGTGACTCTGTGTATTCCTTCCATCTTCTTTTGATGCTTTATGCATCATTCAATATTTTGTCCATAGAATTCTTCAATATTGCAAGTAGGGCCTTGAATTTTTTCTTCAGTTCTTTCAGCTTGAGAAGTCTTCCTTTTTTGTTTTCTAACTCCAGGTCTTTGCACATTTTACTATAATACTTGACTTTGTCTTCTCAAGTTGCCCTTTGAAATTTTTTGTTCAGTTGTTTAAGTTTCTCATTCCTGCCTTGCAGGGAGACCAAAAATATGTTTTCAAGGACCCACTTTTGCCCAAACCTCTGGATTGGCCTTATTGATCGCCCTCACTCTAGCTTCTTCCACTATAAGGAGGCACTGAATTGGAACAATGATTCCATAGCTGTTCATTGGAATATTGTTGTTGTTTTAAGTGCCTTCAAGTCAGTTCTGACTCAGCAACCCTGTATAGACTTTCCAAGGAGCGCTGGTAAACTTGAAATACAGACTTTGTAATTCAACTAGTACATTATCCCACAGCCCCATGCCAGGATTCACCCTTTCACAAGATGAGTGAATGCCCTACACACACACACATATACACTCACCCAATTTCCACAGTCAGTAAGCATGACAAAGAAGCAGACTATGTTCTCTGTTTTAAGATTCACATACATATTAGCTTAGAAATGACCCAACGAAATTTAAAATAAAACGGGAAGGGGGTTGGGAAGAGAGAGAGACAGAAAGAAAGAGAATAAGGGAAAAAGAAACCTGTTATTTATTTCACCTGTGACACTGTAGGATAAGCACTGGACTGTGAACCACAAGGTCAGCGGTTCAAATCCACCAGCCGCTCCTCAGAAACCCTATAGCAGTCACTGTGAGTCAGAATCAACTTGATGGCATTTGACAATAATATTTTTTTAAAACCTGATTTAGCCATTGACATTTTTTATTATAAAACTTATGAATTAGAATCCTGAAAATGTTCCCACTTGGGAAATACTGGACCAAATGATCCCTGAAGGCATCCTTTCTAAAGTCTAAGTTTTGTTCATATGTCTTCTAAATCACAGTTTTAATTGTTCTTTTCCCCTGTTCAATAACTCTCCATCACTCCAAGTGGCCTGTAATACCCAAATTCCTTAACGTAGTATTCAGGGCCCTCCAGATTCTGGTCTTAACTTAGTTTCCTTTCTTCCTACCCATGAGTTTCTGCTCCTTTTAAATTAGGCTTCCCCCGCTCTCCTCCATCACCCATAAAAATGATCTATTTAGTGGATGTGCTTTTCCACCTCTGGGTCTCTGCTCATTTTGTGTTCTCCATTTGGAATGTCTTTGCTAGTCTGTACACACAAATGCAGCAAAGTAAATCAAACCGACTACCTCCGAGTTGGACCCCAACTCATAGCAACCCTATGGGATGGAGTCAAACTGCCCCCTGGGGTTTCTAAGGCTATACATCTTCATGGAGGCAGACAGCCAGCTCTTTAATCAACGGACTGCTTTAATTACTGAGCCACCAAGGATCTTTGTACAAATGCAACTCACCATTCATTCAGAGTTCAAAGCATTCCTCTCCATGAGGATCTATCTCTCCTCTAACCTTATCCTGATATAGAAAAGGTACTGGGCTTCTTGTAGCGGATTAGCTGTACATACCTTAACTTCCTCTTCCTCTAGACTTCTTGGAAGAACTAACTCTTGTGTACACAGTTGCCTGTCCTGCAGTTCTTGAACATAATGGGTGCAAGTAAATGCTTATTAAAAGAATAATCGGAAGGATTAATGGTTGATGTGATTCAGTAGGAACCCTTCTAGAGTAAGAAGAACCTAGCCTGAGAAAAGAGAGGCCTATTCTGGTTCTGTCTTCTGTGACTGAGACCTTTGCCTTCTCTGTCCCAGAGCTCAGTATGCTCAGCTCTAGAGAGACAGAATAGGGCTGGCAGGGCTAAGGCCTCCCATAACTAAATCTTCTGAGGCCCTTTTGATTTATTATAGTCTACTTAGCAAAGAATTTAAGTCAACTCTACAAAATTTAGAATAGAGTAAAACAGACAATTAATAATAGAAGCAGAACTGAAATAAGAGGTTGTTTTTTTTTTTTTTCCTTTTTTTCATTTTGGGTAAATCAAAGGAAAGAATCTCAAACATTAGAGTCTCAGAGATCACAAAAGACGCAAAAAAAGATTTTATTTTTGAGTAAGGAAAAAAATCATTCTGGGTTCTCAAAACTGTCCATATAAATGATCAACTAGAAACTACCAGCTGTTCCGAGGGAGAAAGATGAGGCTTTCTACTCCCGTAAAGATTTACACCCTCGGAAACCCTGTACAGGGTCGCTATGGGTCGGAACCGACTCAACGG